CCCTGGGGATTCCCCCATCCATTCTTCCCTGGGGACCCCCATCCACCCCTCCATGGGGACCCCCACCCGCCTGTACCTGTGCAGCCCCATCCATCACCAGCTGGAAGGCTGCTCCCCCTCTGCCGAAGCGCAGGACATCCCCCGGAATCACTTTGACGGCTGCGTTCTGGACCTGGCAGCCGTTGACGAAGGTGCCGTGGGGGGAATTGCAGTCCTGAAGGACGAAGCCGTTATCCGAGGCGGTGAACTCAAGGACTGCGTGATGCTCTGCTACACCTGGGGACTGCCAGTGAGCAATCAACAGGCAAGAAGGGAAACCCACCAGAAAGCAGCTCCAGTTCCATGAATGATTTGCCAAGCCCCCCTTCTCCTTGCCATACATCTCTGCATAAGCTGGTGACCCCCACGCTTTGCACGGAGGACCCCCAAGCATCCTCCTCCTCCCTGCATCCCAACCACCACCCATTTTATGACCATCAGCTTCCTTGCCCCTACCTGCAGGACGATGTCGGCCCCTTGGTGCCTGCCTATCGTGGTGGTGCAGGGTTTCAGCTGGAAACACCCCTCTGAGCTCTTTAGAAAAGCTCGCATCCTCCAGCCCTTCCCCTGCAAGGTTTGCATTCGAAAAAACCCCAACTCCTCATTTAGCAATCCCCTGTCTAACCGAGCCAAGAACGTCTGGACCAAGTAGTGCACAAGAAGTTGTACAAAACCAGCCCAAAGGCAGCCCGGCCATGGCCGGCAGCGCGCCCGCAGCCCCGCAGTAGCCTTGGAAACCCTGGCTGAGGCGGAGAACCCGCTGCCGCCCTCCTGGCTGTGTTCATTCTCTTTGTTTTGTTGGTTTTTTTTTTCCTTCTCCTTTTCCCAAGCAACTGGCCCGGCAGCACAACATAGCTCCGTGCCGGCTGCGGCAATCAACACACATGGGAACGTTTCCCCACAGATCAAAAAAAAAAACCTCCCGGGGGGCTGTGCAGCCTGCCAGGGCTGCTGATGAACTTTTTTCTTTCCTTTTTTTTTTTTTTTTAATTTAATATGCACAAACAGGTCTTGCAACCTCAAGTGAGTGGATAAACATTGCCTCCTGGTGATGGGGATGCCATCACGCATCGGGACGCTTCTTTGTCGCTGTGCCTTCGTCCCAGCCTGCCACACATCCTTTTTCAGCAAAAAAAAGGGAAAATAACACATCCGCCACCGACAGCCTCCCAGCAGCCACCCCAGTCCCGCCGGGCCCATTTGGCACCCCCAGCACCTGCAAACCAAACCGCAAGCAAAACCCACACAGGACAGCAGCTAGCAAGTCCTGCAAGATTTTATTTTTTTTAAAATTTCAAGGCAGCGGTCGCAGATTTTGCAAAGCGCTCCTTTGGAAACCAGAGCGCTGTACGGCAGTGCCCACCCCAGAGCCGCGTGTTTGTCCCATCCTTCCCTTGGCAAGGGCTTGGCTCTGGGATGCAGCAGCTGAAGTTTTCCAGCCCTGATCCAACGATACAGCGATGGTTTTTAGAAACTACCAACCACCAGACTCCCTTGATTGTGTTAATACCAGGTCTGCACATCTTGGGAGTTGCCATTGACCATGGGTTGCCATTGACTGTGGGTCGCCGTTGACTGTGAGTTGATGTTGACCATAGGTTGCTGTTGACCATGGGTTGCCGTTGACCATGGGTTGCCGTTGACCATGGGTTCCCTTCCAGGGACACTGGGATACATGGGCAACCTTCACCACTGCATGGGGAACACACATCCCGATTTCTCACCTACCAGCATGTCTCACCTGGGAACAACAGCCCAAGGTTGGGGTTGGGTGCATCTGCAAAATGTGCATGGAGGAGACGCTGCGTGCTCTCCCTTTTCTTATCCATCGTACTCACCATCAGGAATAATTATTCCCTCAGAATATATGACAATACCACGGGGTTGAACCATCCCAGGACAGCGATGGCCATGGGTTTGCGAGCACTCGCACCCCTCATCCTCCCACGTCCCATCAGAGGGCAAGGATGTACGGAGCTGGAGAGGCTCAGTAGCCATTTGGGCATTTCTGGCATCATTCCTGCATTGGTCACAGCCCGTTTCGCTGCAGTCACTGCACTCCTTGTCATTTTTTCAGCTCTCTTCCTACATGAGACACTGGAAAGCATTCTGCTTTCACCACTCTGGTTCATTTACATGGGACTTTTTGGTAAAGAAGCTCCATGAAACTTCCAACTCCCAACTGCTCAGACAAGAGGCTTTGCTTTATTAACCCAATATTTACCCAGATTTTCTAGAAAAACCATTACAGTCGCATTTCTTCACCAGGGACAGAGGAGTTGGTGCCTTGCAAGCAGACTCCAGGGAGCACACGTGCCTGGGAAACAACTTCCAAGGACCTGCACCACCTCTCCAATCCCTCCACAACAACAAAACCCACCAAGAACCCCCACCCCAAATCCCTCAGTCTGTTGGCTTTTTTTTTCCCCATCCCTTGTATAAAGGAGCCCCTTATTAAAGGACGTTATTTTGCCCACCTGAGATCGTGCCATCCCCTGGGGCAGACCCAAGGGAAATTCCTGTGATACAACACTGGAAATTACAAGACGCAACACGAAATAATAACCAATGAGATCAAACGTTACATGGGCTTGGACCAGCATTTCTTCTTTGTCTTTGTTTTGGCTGCTCGTGCTCCTCTTGTACCTTTTACCACCGGTACCACCACATCCATGAAGGGTCCGTACCCACATTGATATCGGCATCACGCCGATTCGGCATCCGTGTCAGCAGCCCGGGGGCAGATTGACCACACTGACATCTGCTACAAAATCATGGCAGATTCCACTCTCTACCCACATTTCCCAATTCCAGACCATTCAAGTGACCCACTGGTCGAACATGCCAATGACTTTGCCATCGATAGTTTTGCTGGAAGCCCAGAAGGTGGCACAGGGATGCCCGTGGAGCCGCATCCATCCTTGACCAGCCGACTGATTTTTTTTTTGCAAACCTTGGGAAGGGCCAACTGTACACCAGGGCACACCAACACCACGTACAAAATATTTATTTAGCACAGGTCTGCTCGCACAGCCCGCTCGGCAGCCGTCTCGCCCCGCACACCTCCTTGGCAGTGGCGCAACTCAGGTCCCAACCCCCCGGATTTATCCACAACGGAGCACAAAACAGAGAAAGCAACTGAGACGAGAAATCCATCCTCTTGCTGAAGAACACAGGGCTCCTTTCAGCCTGGTTCCCACCAGCAAGCATCGACCTTGGCAGGAGTCGGGGTTGGCCCCAAGCCACCGCCGCGGCCCCGGGCGGGAGCGGGGGAAAGCTGCAGAGCTGCTCTGGCAACGTGGCTTCCCTTACATGGAAAGAAAAGACACAAAAAAAAAAAAATTAAAAGGAATGTTTCCCTTTACTACATGGAAAATCCTCGTTGGGTATCAGTTGGGTGGGTTGTGAAAGGCTGGCTGGGGGAGAGGAGGCGAGAAGATCCGTTGGGTGGTCCTTCTGTAAAACTCCACGAAATAAACTTTCGGTACTCCCAGCCTTTGCTTCCTGCAGAGCAGCAGACCTATTGGCATTCCGGTTTCTTTCCCCACGGTCTTTTGTAAAAAGCCATCATGGGAAAGCTGGTCCTGTCCCCATGCCGCAGCGCTTCACACCCATCGCATCCTCCACATCACAGCTTCCAGGGCGCCCCGACCGCTTCTGCACCCACAGACCGAGCCCCTTAGTGTGGGTTTTTTTTAAATAAAAACCACAAAAACCCCAGAAACATCACAGATTCCAATTTTTTTTGTTTAAGTCATTTGCTGGCTCTCCGGCAGTTTCTCCTGGATCTCCTCGTACTTGGGCGGTGGCGTGAGCGGCTCTATCGTGATGGGGGCCGGGCTGTTGCCCT